ACTCTATTTTCTCCCCCATCCCACAGGATGGGGTAGGGAGAGAGCAAGTGGCCATGTGGCACTTGGCTGGGGGCTGAGGCCATGCCACCACTGCCCATAGAGTCGGCTGTGCCCCAAAGGGCACTGAGGGCCAACAACTGTGACATGGATGAGCCAGAAGGACAAGGCATAGCAGCATCCGACAGCATTTTCTGGTGCCTGTTGCTGGCTTTAGCCTCCAGATATTCAAGTTTTGCAGGTAAAACAACCAGAAATAATATATGCACAATTTAGTTACAAGCACTGCTTTAAATTATCATGGCTTGAAACCATAGCCGAGAAGTATCTATCCCTTCAGGGGAGCAGCTGTCTGCACAAGGTAGGCACAGGATGGAATCTCATTCAGACTTCAGATGTAGCAACATTCTCACTTCTTTTTGAAATGAGAATCTCTTGCTTGACAGTCATCTCATTATTTTTACATTTAGGATATTAACCATTATTCGTATATCTTTCATCTTTGCTAGTTGGAAAGGCAAGCAGGAATTAAAAACGCTACTTGGAACTATCTGCTCCACAGCAAAAATTAATTATGCTTCCATCTGACAGCAAGAAAAGCATTCACCACTGAGGCATTAAAGTGTACACAGATTTAGGAACAGGGGGAGCTCTCAGTGCTGACGGGAGAGCGCAGGGGACAGCGGGAGCCGGCCCGGTGCGGCACCGAGAGCCGCGGGGACCTGCCGGCGGGGCTCCCCGGCAGCTCTATTTTTACTACGGTATGTTTTGCATTCAGACTTTCCACTGCAGGCGGCCCGGGTCAGGGGATCCGCTCTGCCGGGGGAATCTGACAGGTCAGCTCAGCCAGAGTTATTTATAGAGGGCGGGGGACTGAGGGAAAGGATGCGATCGGCATCGTATTCTGCCGCGGGGCTGCGGACCGGGAGAGGCACCCAGGAGCAGCCCGCCCTTCACCCCTCAGCACAGCCGGGCAAGGTGGCCGCGGCCGGGAGAGGGGACAACCCGCTGGACACAGGGACAAGCCGCTGGACACGGGGGCTGCTGCCGCGAGAGCCAAAGGGACAAGGCCCAGGCGCTGTACCTTCCCTCTTTGCCCCCACTTTAACTCATGCAGCCTCCCGGGGAGTGAGGGCCACCCCACTCCCCGCAGTCCCAACAAGTGAGGGGGGGCTCTCACGCCCTGGCACCCAGAGTGAGGCCCAGGACAGCTGTAGGTGAAACTGCTCACAAGGCAGCAACTGACTGTGGAGGGCCAAGATAAATAAAAATTCAGAGGCAATGAGAATAGTCAGGCTGCAGCTACCTGGATACTGTCTTCAGTCACTGCTCTGAGTCTGAAGACTTTTGCAAGGAGGATTTAACCTTTCTTTCTCCTACTATGACAATCCATCACTTCACAGCAGGTTATCACCTACCCTTCTATCCTGGCACTGGAGAACTGTATGTACCCAGCCTGCCACTTACGAGGTCCATTTCTTTTCGGTTAGGGAAAGAAACTGGGACAGACTCAAGCAGCAGTATTTCAAACTGTAATCAGACTGCCCCCCTCAAGCCCTGCTGCTTACTTAGCTGCTTCATCCTGAAGGCATTTAAATATCAGGAGGTGTCTGGCAGCCACATTTGAAAGGGCCTAAGCTGCATGTGCAAGTCTAAAACTGCCCTGCAAGCGGCCTGACATCCACCCCTGCCAAACCCTGGCCGGCATTCAGAAACAAGACATTCAGCTGGCCTTGTAAGCACTTGCTAAGGATATCTGACATGCTGACAGGACTCTTCCCACACAATGTTGCTATAACCACCATCTTTTAAAACCTGACCACACTAGGAGACCGTGCCAGTGTACGTAACTGCCTAACAGCATGATCTGTTCAGCCTGAAAGCAGATGACCTGGTACCCAGGGCCTCCTGGTCCAGGTGAAAAGGCACAGCTCCCACGTCTTAAGGAAGAGCCAGTAGCGCTCATATTGTGTCTCCTGGAATGGAATGACCTGAATCTGCTGAGCCTCAGCATGGCAAAGATTGACAGAGCTCAAACAACCACTTAGCCACACTGAAGTGCTGTCTTCCTGCTTGTGAACAAAGGGTTTGTTTACAGTTCACCATTTGTTGGTTAGAGCAGTTGAGCAGGAGCTGCTGGATTTCTTTGCCAGATACAACAATCCCAAAATTCCCTTGCCTGTTTCACCTTCACTTGAAAGGACCATTCTCCTTCTGACAAATGAGATTTCTGTCTAGGTGCTTATCCACCTCAGCCTCGGCACACATTCCCTGTCTGGCTATGAGACTAATGACAAGAAATTATGTGTCTAGCAATACATGAGCTTAATACAAAGCCAGAACAGTAATGTTTCTCAAGGGAGCTGAGTGCTAAGACCTAAACATGTATATCAGCTTAGCAGGAAAAGAAAAATTTAAAAAAGGGCAATTCCTCCATTCAAGTAAACCCACATTTTAAAATAATTACTGGCACAGTTAACAGTCCTGGTTTAACTTGTATCTGCAGACATCATCGAATACATAATTAACAGCCAAACAATAACAGAGATATATACAATTGCCCTGTGCACATTTTATAGAACACCTCCAATCATGACACATTTCCAACCATCTACATACAATACTTTTAATTCACTGGACACTCAAGTTATCTGCATACAGCTGAGTGCCAGCTAAGACTTGTGGAAAGGAAGTGAATGTTTTCTTCAGTTTATAGTTCCAGCTATTTTATAGTTCCAGCTCCAAAAGACTCAGGAAAAAACAATATTTTGTCCTGATGGCCTCATGAGATACTAAAAGGACAAGCAAGCTCCTCTAACATGGGAAAGCGTGCTGTACTGCCTGGCTCACCACCATGAGAGCTTTCCCAGGAAAACGAGCGCTAGTGGCTTCCTCAAAAATGCATGCTGAGTGAGGATCATATGTGGGGTTGGAGGTCCAGGCTTCTCCACAGGCAGAAAGACCTGTCTGCCTGTCGGGGTAATTCATAAATGGCCTTTGACGGAGAGAAAAAAAGTCATGAGCATTTCATTTCTAAAAGAGATTTAAACATTGTTTAGGATTCCTTGTTCAGCTGGAGGAGTCCCCATCTTTCTACAGAACCTAGATGCCCAAGGTCCTCTGGGGATGCCACCAGCTTTTATAGGGACACAGGCAGAGCAGTTCTCTAATTTCTTGTATTGCAACTTTTTTTTTGTTTGGACTATCTCAGTGATACATTCATTCATCCATGTGCCATAGCAGCCAAGAAGCTTATAACAGAGATCTCCAACTAGAGCATCCATTACAAAAACAAACAAAAGAATTTAGTCCTGCTGACTGGTCCATCTTTTAGGAACACAGGAAGGGTGTACATACCCATATGGAAAAATCCACTACCATACTCTTACTGCTGAAAGCCAAAACTTCCCAAGAGATCCCGTGAATGCATTAAAAGCTCTAGATATTTGATTTCACTTCAGAGTTTCATAATCTCAACCAGACTGCTAGTAAATTAAGTTAATTAACTGTCTGCCATGAAATGCATCAAAGGACTCTGCATTTTAAATCAAGTGGAGCAATGATACTACTAAAGTATACTGCCTTGTTTATAAACTTGTGGAACGCCCTGCTGTGCCATTTCGGTCGCGTACGGTCGGTGTGACAGCGCGAGAAGCTCCGTCGCGCTCTCCACAAGGGCCACGCATCAGGCTCAGCACTCCGGCGCGGCCTCGCCGGTCCCTCCCGGCGGCGGAGAGGGCGAGGGCAGCCGGTCCCTCCCCGCGGACGCTCCTGCTCGCTCGCCGTGGGCTCCCCGCTGTACAGCTGCGGCCCCCGCCCCTCTGACAGCGCACCCGCGCCGGGGACACTGGGGAGACACCTGCGCCCCGGCTAGCGGAGGGAAGGGCAGGCTGAGGGGACTCACCCTGCAAGCTCGCACTAGCGCAGCAGCCACCTCCTGCAAGTTCCCTCTCGCCCCCTCTTATGCAGCCTCTCCCCTAAGGGCGGCAGACCACCTCATCCCTGCGCACAGGTGTGTGCTGCGAGACTGCCCACACCACACCTGCGCTGTGCCCCCCGGACACTTGCAACCACACAGGCTGGCTTTCCCTGTAAGGATGAAGTTCCCCCTCTGTGACCCTGTGCAGGATAACCTCCCGACGGCTAGCGGTACCATCCCGCCGGACAGCCGTGGGAGTGGGGTGGGAGTCCCTGCACCCGACCGCAGCGTGCACCGACGCAAGGATAAAGCCAGCTCCCGCTGATGCCGGGGAGCAACTACCGCGCCGGGGTCACGGTGCATCGCCTCCCCGGGAGCCCAGTCGCCGATGGAGCTGCCGTGACAGCCCTGACAGAGGTTAAGCCTAAACTTTGCTCCCGCAGATCCTGGCCGGACCTGTTGTCGGATTCGGCCAACTCCTCCCCGCTCCTTCCAGCGGCAGAGCATTTACGGGGCACAGCAGCCCCGCTGATCTTCCTAGCTTGGTGAGAAAAGCGGGGCGAGGGCGCCGCTCGGCTCTCCCTGAGAAATCGACAACGAGCGCTTGTTGGCTGCGGCTCACCTGCAGCCCGCGCCTCTGAACGCGTCCGTCCCCGGCGCGTCCCCACAAGTTTCGACACAGGAGCGCTCTGGGACGGCCCCATCGCGGCAGGTTGGGCACGGCACGTCACTTGTTCCCGGCCATCCCCCAGGCCGCGCCTCCGGGGGACACGGCTCCGTCCCTGCCTGCGAGCCGCGGGTCCGCTCTCGCTACAACAGCTCGGCGGGCTCGGAAAGGGGACTGCCCCTCCTCCGCTTGCCCGAGCACCCTGCCGCTCAGCCCCACGGCGGCAGCGCCGGCTGTGCGCCGCGCACGGGAATTGCCCCTGGGCCGGCTGCGGACGAGGGTGTCCCCTGAGCACGCTGCCCCCGCCCGCAGCCCGGGGGTCGCCGAGTGGCGGAGCCAGCCGCCCTCCCAGGCCCCCGGCCCGCGGTCCCCAGGCGGTCCCCCGCGAGGAGGGGAGCACCCCGAGATTCGCCTTACCCGGCTGGCGGAGAGGACCTGCCGGTAGCGCTCCTCCTCCGCAGGCAGGGCAGGGAACTGTTGCGTGGAGAGCATGCTCTGGCTGCTGCTGACCCCTCTCCACTTTGGCCGCCCCCTCACCGTTCTCTACCTCGGTCTCTCACGAACCGCGTCCACGCGCCCCCTGCACAAACACGCTTGCGGCGAGAGCTTCGCATTTTGTCTGCTCTGCAAACTCCCCCTCCCCGCTCCTCCACCCAATAATAATAAACCTCCGCTAGAAAGAGCCACATCCCCACCCCTTTCGCACACAAGGCTCTACCCCTTGGGGACACGCAGAGAGACAGCCTACTTGCTAATTTCGCCCTAAAGCCATCCCCCAGGGAGGGCGGATGGAGTGGGCACAGGCTTTGCGCCCCTCCCCATCCCCCCATCCGGTAAAGGGACGCCTCGTCACGCTGCGAAGGGCTTCAGGTGGCAAGACAAGCCTGAGTCAGAGATGATGTGAGGGGTAAGAACCCTCGGAGTTCGCCCCTCGCACCCCTTACCTTGGCTCGCCGGGGCTCCGCCGCGCCCTGGCCGCCGGGCCGCCCGGACGCGCACTTGCGGCTGAAGCGATGCGAAGCCAGCCCAGCGCACGGACCTGCAGGCGCTCTCGGCCCACCGAGTCCAGGCGCAGAGTTCATAGCAGAGGTTGGCAAGCGTGGGCCAGACTCCCGTGTCCCCTCCTTCATCCGCGGTTCCCGGGTGGACTTCCCTGCTCTTCATTTTACGTTAACGTCCGGCAAAGGCTTTCCTTTCAACCTAGCGAGGGAGAGTCGCGCCGGCAGGGACTGCAAAGCTTCCCTCTGTAGCACAGCGGCTGGCCTGTCGCAGCCCGGCCTCTAAGGCTCCAAAGAGAGCTGAAACCGGGGATGGCACCGCAGAAGCGGAGGGGAAAGAGCTCCGGCAGGAGGAACCTCCCGGAGCCGACGACGGGTTTCCCCAGCTCCTTTCCCGCAGGAAGGCTCCGGTCCCAGCCCCCTGGCGACCCGGTCTGCCGTACCCCGTCCCTCCCCAGCGAAAAAGCGCTGAGCGGGAGAACAGCGGCGACCCGACGGCGTTACCCCTTGTCCCCGCGCCGGTCCTGGTCCTGACCGGCCCCAGCGATCCGGAGCCGGAGGGGCGTGCTGGTTTGTTGAATATCTGTTGAAGCAAAATTCTCAGCCAAGAGACAAGTGCCGTCTGAAGCTGCAAATGACAGAGCAAATGTCCTACCCCCATAAGATACCAGCTTTTAAGACCTGCATTTGATCTGTTTGTGCCCTTGCCCTGTGTTTGCATTCAAAGATGTCAAGTCTGACTGAAGCCCCAGTCTGTGTGCACAACGGAGCTCACCAATACTATCCAAGAATGATAAAGTCAAGAGGACAAAAGGTAAAACAATAAGTATAAAATGGGCAGAAGTGTGTGCTACCAGAATAGAAACAATTCAGGACCCTTCCAAGAGTCACAGAAAGATGTCACTGGGATTGCAGCCGTGTTCTGAGATAACATCTGTAAACCAGAAAGGCTTCCAGTTTTTACTGTGCATGATTTAGTACTTCTGAAATGCTATCATTCAAAATGTGAATCAGGAAACACCCAAGAAAATGTGAACCACCACCTCTCTATGAATAGGGCTTCCAGCCCTGTCACCACTCTTGACAATCAGTGAGGGTGGTACCCCTCATCACCATGTTTATATTTGTAAATATAAACACATGGTGTTATATATGTTTTTATATAAATAATAAATAAGATTAACACTTCTTAGTTTTTGGGGTTTTTTTCCCCAGTTTCTTTTCCATACCTGCAGATTTAGGCCCTGTTCCTTTGTGTGCAAACGTTATGGTGCAGCGTTCCCTATGCTTCTGGAGTGCCAATGTACTTAGAGGCTTCTGCTCATGGTAATTCAGTGCTGCACCTTTCACCCAACCAACCAAACATCTCTCCAAACCAACCTCCAGCATCTGGAGGAAAACAGCGCTGGTTTTAAAACAATTGCACCAAAAATAGGAAAAGCATGTGGAAAGAGAGAAAAGAAAGACCATTTTTGCAAAATCATCATATTGCTTAATGTAAAACAAGTATTTTGTGCTGTAATGCAGGAATCAAACCATAATTTGTGATTCATTACAGAGATTAGGTAGCCCTGTCAAAAATTCTAGTAACAGTAAATGAAAACGTGTATCTAAGAGGTGCAGTACATGACTCAGACTGCAAAGCTAGCTGGGCCTTGGCTGAGGATGGCTTCAGCTGGAGAACTGTGAATTCCAAACCCCAAGCCAGTCTTGACTCCTAATCTCAAACTAATTTCCTCCAATAGGAGTGCCACTGAAACTAGAGTTTCACAATAAAAAAAGAAAGAAAGCCTGAGTTTGTTGGTGATTTTATGGAAATCACTGCATGAGCAACATTTAGCATAAATAATGCTTGGTTGAATCCAGCCACAGTTCCCTCAGAGTATGACTTACTTCTTTCTACACAGCTGCTGTTTAGCCTACCTTACAGCTGAGTTTGATGTACCACAGCTCATATTCATACACTATCCATACCACAGAACTGTTTTCTGGTACCATGGCATATAGACATGCAGTGTTCCAATAATTCATTAAAATCTAACCATCTTTCCTTCTTTGTGGAAAGAAGCATATCTCATTATCTTATAATTAATTTGACTTAATTTTATTTTTTCCTTAATTTTTACCTTGCATTTATTTTCCTAGGAAATAGAAAACACTACAGGTTCTTAATTTTCTAATTCTCTACAGCAACTGACTAATTTACCTGAATAAGAGCAGACAGGAATATAAACATATTCATGAAGCAATGAAAGGGAGCAATTGAAATGCTCATCCTGGTAACAGGATGAAACCAAAGCAGAAGAGGGATACCCAAACTAAATGAAAATGAAAATGAGAAATGAAAATGACCCTGTTCATGTGTGTCCAAACAAGAATTCTCCAACCTAAAGCACACACATCAAGGTTCCACTGCCTGGCACTGGAACACACTTCAGAGCAAGCATCTCTGTGCTCTAACCTCACAACACACAAGCTCGTCACTCAGAGAAAGCTGGCACAGGGCAGGTGTGTTTTGGAGCCTGAACTGCTCCTGAGATGACAAACTCAGAGCTCACTGCTTTAAAGCCACAATCGAACACAGATGCTTTTATGAACAAATTTTGGTGCTACCTGCTTATTAACATTTCCTTCTCTAGTAGTTAAGGTCAGCACAAATGTCTAATAAATCAGCTATATTTCTCCCTGTGAGGCCAAAAAAAATCTACTAAGTCCAGTCCCATTTGTTTCACCTTAATTGACTTCCCCAAACCATTCTCAGAATTCTGTCAGAGCAGCGACATGAAGGAACACGATTACATAATTCCAGCATTCATCTGAGAAGTAAGAATTATCACTGCCAGAGAAGGGGGTAAAAAGCACACCTAAAAACTTGGGCTGCAGCATGTCAGTCATCATTACCTGGAAAGTTAGCTGCTTCACTACACCAGTCCTTGAGAACAAGCAATTTTTCATGTTGTTTTTGATACATTTATTGTATGACTTGGTTTTTACATTAAATTAACAAACACAATGGATTTGATATAGTTACAGGGAAAAAACTTGCCCTAGGAGTTTCCAGTCCCAAACGTACTGAACAGTTTTAAGAACCCTGGCTCAGTGAAGGATAAATTTTCACCACAATGCATCCACAATCCAGAAAAGCTCCAAGTTTTTTTCACTTTACACATACCTAAATATTATTAATGTTAAGTCATCATCAGGCTTCTATCGCTGTAATTTCCCTTCAACACCAGGTCAGATTATATAATTTGTTTTAATGTATACTGATCAATATGCATTTTTTTTGTAAGCTGTTAACATTAAAGATATTTGCTCATTACATTATATAACAGTACATTACATATAAATTGCTACCAAACCCCACCTTCAGTTCAAAATTTCTTTTCTAAAATTACCATCTTTCATTAATATTGAATAAAAGGTGATTTTATCTGTATCTTTTACTTCAAAGGTTGTTGACAACATGCAGCTCCAAACAAAGGCAAAATATTAATTGTAAAAATATTTTAAAGAAACAAACAAAAACCTAGTGATTTATTAAACTGCAGATTGCTTGAACCCCCACAATTTTTTTATGCCAAGAAATAAATATCTGGTTCAGCAGGCAGACCAACAGAGTGCAAATGACTCAGATGGTTGGATAAGATACACAGAACTATTTTGAATAAAATTTCAAAAATAGGTATGCCTTGCATATGCAAGGTTCAGAAGAGATACAAATCCTTTAAGAAAGGGAATATGCCCACTCACACATACGTTTGTATGAACAGAATGAATTTGTATAGTAAAAAAGCATGGCAATCTTTAATGAAGATGATCAATGAGAAGCCTTTTCCTCTCCAGTATTTCCCACAAATATGCAGAAAAGAATACTAAGAACTTCTTCAAACATAGAACAAGTGCAGTTAATTAGTATAACTCGCTAGAGAGAGGTTTCTTCTCTTTGCTGTAGAAGCAAGGATAAACTTTCCATTGTATTTATTTTAAAGCTAGCAGTAAATAGAAAAATTAGTGATAGTCATGCAAAATAAAAGCTGTTTCCACAAAGTTCTCATTCATGTTGATTTCCATATTTCAGCCAGAAAGGTATCTTTTGTTCTTTTGGATAAACCATCACATTTTACTTCATCTGAACAAAAACATCTCTCCTTTTTCCTTAGTGACAGAAGAGTAACTGACATATGCAGTCACACAATAGCATCACCTCACTCTTGTTAAAGAAAACATACTTATAGCTGAAATTATCTTCCAGGATTAATATGATAGAAAAAAAGTTAAAGCAACAATATTTACTTTTATATAAGCAACAATGTTTACTTTCTATACTAGAAAATAAGAAATTCAATGGAGATGCAACTTAGCACAGTGTAATTTCAATTAATTCCACAACTTTAAATACTGTCTGACACATAAGTAATATGCATCTCTAAAATTTCATTTAAAAAACAAAGTACTATAGAATAGCATCAATCCACGCTAAATATTGCCAAGTTTTCCTCACCTTTCTCCTCATCCACCAAACTTCAGTGAAAAGAAACTAATTTTATCCCTGTTTTCTTAATCTATGTAATCAAAAGCTTCTGCATTTTTGCAGCTT